TGATCTCACAGCTTGTGAGTTCGAGCCCCACGTTGGGCTCTGTGCTGACAGCTCAGAGCCTGGAGCCTGCTTCAGATCAGTGTCTCCCTCTCTCTCTGCCCCAACCCACTCACATTCTGTCTCTCTCAAAAGTAAATAAACATTAAAAAAAATTTTTTTAACAAAAAAATAAATAAAATTTTGGAGAAGACAAGACAAAGGATATATTAGAGTTGAGTGCATTTTGGTACCTCTGATTGACATAAATGTATTCAGATCATTTGTGTATATAGTTATGTATAATTATTAACTCATTCTGAGAAACTTAACACTTTTCTCACAAGTGTTGTAGATATTTAGAATTTGATCTTTTGGGCCAGCATTTAAATATAAAATGCCTAAAACTACACTTGAAAATTCAAGTGATCATCGCAGGAAAAATTATAGCTATGCGAAGTGATGGAACTTGCTGTGGTAATCATTTAGTATGTACGTACATGAAATCATTATGTTGGACACCTTAAGCTCATAAAGTCTTGTATGTTAATTATATCTTAATGAAACTGAAAAAGTTAATAAAATGAAAAAAAGGAATTCAAGTGAGTGCTGATGAAAATGTATCATGTGAGATTCTTCATGAATATCACTCTTCCAGTTTGAAAAGGCATAGAATATAGACACTGGTGAGTGACAGGACAAAAGAGTTATAATTACATAAAATTTTAAAAATTACATTTATATAGTGTTTTATTATTTCAAGTTATTTTACCTTATTTCATCATTTCAGTAGCATTGTAAGATAGGTAGGGCAGGTATTACCTTTGTTGATTGAGGAAGAAATGGAACGTCAGAAACGCAGAAAGTGACAGCTTAACATCACACATAGTGCCTGATGAAACTGATACTTCACCCTAAGTCTCCTGATCTCTAGTACAATATTCTTTCCATTATGTCATGTTGCCTGATTGAAACTTGAATTTACATGCATTTTAAGATGTAGGAGAATTAAACTGAGTAAGTTGTTTTATGAATTTTAATTTTTGGAGAGAGGTTGTAAGCCTTTTGAAGGCATGGGACACATCTCTGTTTTGTGTTTTTCTTCCAAACTTGATTCTTCCCAAGCACTTAAGCATGTACTGTCTTGTGTATGTGATACTAACATTACTGACATCCAGGATGACATTGCTACTGATGTTCTCTCCTTCTCCTGGTGGTGACCAGATAGACCATGAGCAAATCAACTTTTGCATGTTGTTATTCAAATCTCTCCCCGGTCGTTCTGTGTAGCCTAAAGCTGTAGTTGTACTTTAGGTACTTTATAGTTTTTTAAAAAATTGATCTAAAGTTTACCTTACCATAAAATTTAGCATTTTAAAGTGTACAATTCAGTAGTTTTTTAGTATATTTACAAGGTTGTACAGCAACCTTCACCAGTATCTAATACCAGACATTTTCATTATTCCAGAAAGAAACTTGAGACCTATTAGTACTCACTCTCATTCCTCCCTCTCTGACTGACTCTTCAGTTAACCACTAAATTACTTTCTATCTCTATAAATCTGTTTCTGTTGGCCATTGCATATAGGTGGAACCATACAATATGTGACTTCTTGTTTCTTCTTTCATTAAGCATAGTATTTGCAAGGTTCGCCTTGCATTCTATAGCATGTGTCATTACTTACTCCTGTGTTTTTAATTTATTTTTTTTAATGTTTTTATTTATTTTTGAGACAGAGAGAGACAGAGCATAAGCAGGGGAAGGGCAGAGAGAGAAGGAGACACAGAATCTGAACCAGGCTCCAGCCTCCAAGCTGTCAGCACAGAGCGTGACGTGGGCTGGAACCCACAGACTGTGAGCTCTTGACCTTAGCTGAAGTTGGATACTCAACCAACTGAGCCACCCAGGCGCCCCTCATTACTTACTCCTTTTAATGGCCGAATAATATTACATTATATGGATATACCACATTTTGTTTATCCATTTACCAGTTGATAGACTTTTTTTTCCTAATTTTTGTCTATTGTGCATAATACAGGTATGGCCTTCTGTATACATATTTTTGTATGTTTTAAATCCTCTTAGGTAGGGGTGCCTGGGTGACTTAGTTGGTTAAACATCCAGCTTTGGCTCAGGACATGATCTTGTGGTTCGTGGGTTCAAGCCATGTGTCAGGCTCTGTGCTGACAGCTCAGAGCCTGGAGCCTGCTTCAGATCCTGTGTCTCCCTTTCTCTCTTCCCCTCCCCCACTCATCCTCTGTCTCTCTGTCTCTGTCTCTCTCTCTCTCTCAAAAATAAATAAACATAAAATCCTCTTAGGTATATACATAGAAGTGAAATTTCTGGGTCATATGGTTATTCTATGTTTAATTTTTGGAAAGCTGCAAAACTGTTCCCCACAGGGGTCGTGTCATTTAGATTCCCACGAGCAGTATATGAAGGACCTTGTGTTTTTTTAGTGTGGACCACTCATTGCTTTCCAAATGCATCTTCAAGCCCATTTTTTATTTCATTCCCTTCTACCTCTACCCCCATGTCTGACTACCTAGTGAATTTCTATTCATCCTTCAAAGCCTAAGTTAAATGCTGCTGCTTGTGCAAAGTCTTGGATTACTGGGGCTGGAAGTGATTTCTCACTGTTTAATGCATGTAGTTGTACCATTTGTTTCTCTTTGGGGCCTTTTGTGATAGTCATGATGCCTTTAACTTCTATCTTCTACCATATTTTTGTACTGTCAGGGTGCTTCATATAAAACAGGACTTGAGTAAATACCGTTTACTCATTGGGGAAATGAATGGGAGAGAATAGAAAATCCTTAACTTGGATTTTTAAAATGTTCCATGGTACCTATAATCTCTTGTTTGTCTTCATAATATGTGTAATACCACATTAGACCAATACTTTTTATAAAATAGAAACGTTAACTTCTCAGTATGATTTGTAATAAAAAATTCTAGAATTTGGAATGATGGTTTTTCTGTTCTCATCACTGGTAAGTTCCTAATAATACCTAATAATTTCTTGGGCCCGTGAGAAGATTTTTATTGTACACACAGTTATCTTTTAATATAATTTAAGAACTGGTAGGCTGCATTTATCTTTTGGCATGGATTTAGAATGGCATCTTTGTCTGTAATTACATATTAAAGAAGCTGTGTTACAGGATAGTCATGTGGCTCCATGTTATTAGATCTGAAGTTTATTTTGTAAAATTTTAGTACTTCACCAGGTAATAAAATGTAACCAAATCGTTTTCACTTTACAGTCTTTCTTAGGATGTTTTTTGGTGTCCATTATGAAACTGATGACAACAGCCAAATATGCCAAATAATGTAGTCCAAGTACTGTGGTCCTGTATGGTGGCCTTGTCTAGTAGTTAAGAGCACAGATTGTGTAGCTATGTGGCTTGGGTTTGAAACCTGTCCTTGTCTTTGTTATTTATTAGCTGTGTGACAGTGGAGAAGTACTTAACCTTTCTGTTCCTATTTTTCTATCTGTCTACAAATATGTTAACCTCCCTGGTTATACATATTTACATATTGCAGGTGTATCTAGGTATATAAGTATATATTCATTATATACATGAGTAGTCATGTTCATGTTTACAATCATATACGTATATTTTTAGCAAAGTAAAGATCGTACTGTTTTGAATTTTGTGATTTTCATGTAACTTTATAAATGCTTTCTCATGTAACTAAATTATGCTTTAAAAACATTGTTTTTAATGACTGCATGGTAGTCTATGCTGTGAATGTACAAAATGTATTTACCAAATTCCCCGTTGTAGTTTTTTTTCCTCTCATTTTTGGAATTTGAATTAATGTGCAGTGACTACCCCTGCATATTTTTGTCTGGCTTTCAGATACTTAAAAAAACATTTTTTTAAAAGTTTTACTTATTTAAGTAATCTCTACACCCAATGTGGGGCTCTAATTCACGACCCCCAGATCAAGAGCCACATGCTCTTCCAACTGAGTCTGCCAGGTGCCCTGTGGTTTTCAGATACTTTTTAAAGGATAGATTCCTTAAAATGGAATTACTGAATCAAAGGGCATGAGCCTTTTAAAGCATTTTGGTACACATTTCCAAATTGCTTCCCAGAAAGATTGTACATATGTTACTTGTTGAGAAAATTAATTTAGAATTAACTTGTTTTGAAATTAGAGCGTTACATGTTTATTTTCATCAGTTGCTTTTGCTTATACCATTCGTTCATTTCAACGATTATGTATTCAATACCTACTTTATATGATGCATTCTTAGGCCAGAGGATACAGCAGTGAACAAACAGGTATGTTTCCTAACCTCATTTAACTTTCTTGTCTGTAGGGCTCTAGATATTTGGCAGTGTTTTAAATACCATTTTCTTTTAAGAATCAGAATTTAATAAATTGATTAGAAGAGAGGAAAAAATGTGCCTTAATGACCTATCCATGCTATCTAGTCTTTTTTACTATCTAGTCCAATTTTCATCTTCCCAGGGGCTACGTTCATGTACTTGTTTCATTTAAAAACAGAAAACGGGGGTGCCTGGGTGGCTCAGTCGGTTTAAGTGCCTGACTTCGGCTCAGGTCATGATCTTGTGGTCTATGGGTTTGAGCCCCGCGTCGGGCTCTGTGCTGGCAGCTCGGAGCCTAGAGCCTGCTTCGGATTCTGTGTCTCCCTCTCTATTTGCCCCTCCCCTGCTCACTTGCTGTCTCTCTCTCTCTCTCTCAAAAATAAACATTAAAAAAAATTTTTTTTAAACAAAAAGAAACCAAGCTCTGTGCTAGGCACAGAAGATGAAATGCTCTTCAGGAAACTTGAATCTGGTGTATCTGAATTAGACTATAGTCATGTCTGAAGATAAGCGGATAGGCAGGACGCTCCCTCAAAGACCCTTCCCACAGCCTCATGTTTCTACGGTAATTTATCTGCTTATACTTAAATTTTAAATCAAATCATATTACTTTAAATTATAGTTATTCTGACAATATGGAGATTAGTTTCATAGATACTGCATTTTTAACTCATAAACAGGTTGAATCGTTTATTTTGGACCAAGAAGATCTGGATAACCCAGTACTTAAAACAACATCAGAGATATTCTTATCAAGTACTGCAGAAGGAGCAGACTTACGCACTGTGGATCCAGAGACACAGGCACGATTAGAAGCATTGCTGGAAGCAGCAGGTAATTTATTTCTTGTTTTGTTATTTTCATCTCTTTAAAAGTCTAGATCTCTGTACAAAGCTGTGCAAGATTGCCCCCAAATTATATAACATTCTATGAGATTTGAACTCTTAGTATGTGTTACGTTTTTTATTGTTCACGTTTTATATTTAAAAAATTCTTGGTTGAAAGTTTTTAGAGAATGATTTCTGGGCTCAACACTATTTTTAAAGGTCTTAGATAATCAGATACTTACCAATGAAAACTTATCTATTTCCAATTACATTATAAATGTGTGAGATAAATTTGGTTCCTTAAGTTATGAATCTTTGATCTGAACTGATTTAAGGGTATTCTGCATGTGATTTGTTACTCATTTTAGTCTAGGGATAACTTAATTATTATAAGTTGCTAGTTTTTTAATGTTTATTTATTTTTGAGAGAGAGAACGCTCTTGCACATGCGCTTGTGTGCAGGAGGGGCAGAGAGAGAGGGAGACAGGATCTGAAGCAGGTTCTGTTCTGCACTGACAGCAGATAGCCCAGTGCAGGACTTGAACTCACGGACCAGACCGTGAGATCATGACCTAAGCCAAAGTCAGATGCTTAACCAACTGACTTAGCCAGGTGCCCCTATGAGTGGCTATTGTTTAAAAAAAGATGTTTATTTATTTTGAGAGAAAGAAAGAGAGAGGGTATGCATGCATGTGAGCAGGAGAGGGGCAGGGAGAGAGGTAGAGCTGTGAGTGCAGAGCCTGATGCAGGACTCAATCATACAAACTGTGAGATCATGACCTGAGCTGAAATCGAGAGTTTGACACCTAACTGAGCCACCCAGGTGCCTCATAAGTTGCTATTTTTTATTGTATTATTTTATTTTATTTATTATTTTATTACTGTTGTTTATATTGAACACCCTGTTTATTATTTTCTGTACCAAGTCTCCATTCCACTATAAAGAAAGACTTTCTATCAGCTAAAATTGTTTTAAGAAGGAAGTTAACTTTTTAAAATCTTCTGTGTTGTTTTTTTTATATTGCTTTTGAGATATGTTCACTTTGTGTGACACTCTTTTTAGTTACTTATTTAGCATAAATATATGTGTATGTTAAATACATATAAGAATTTAATCTAGAGGAATGCATAGGTTATTTTTTAAAATAGTGCCTAAAGGGGCGCCTGGGTGGCGCAGTCGGTTAAGCGTCCGACTTCAGCCAGGTCACGATCTCGCGCTCCGTGAGTTCGAGCCCCGCGTCAGGCTCTGGGGCTCAGAGCCTGGAGCCTGTTTCCGATTCTCTCTGCCCCTACCCTGTTCATGCTCTGTCTCTCTCTGTCCCAAAAATAAATAAACGTTGAAAAAAAAAATTTATAAAAAAAAAATAAAATAGTGCCTAATAAATAAAAAAATAGTGCCTAAAAACTTGTTAGAGTGCCATATATACTTTAAACCATGTTAAAGCTATTAAACTCCAGAAAATTCAAAATAAAAAAGTTTTAAAGTATAGAAATTTGATTCCGTTACTGAGTACTCTAATAAGCATAATATTAAAGATTCAGAAAAATCACAGCAGCTTTTTAGTACATTTCATATTGACTGAACAGTACAGCATCAATTTGATCAAATAAGGACAAGGACAAGAGCTAAAATAAATTGAACAACTTTTGGTAAAGTTTATTCATTTATTCTGAGGGGCACCTTGGTGGCTCAGTTAAGTGTCTGACTTCAGCTCAGGTCATGATCCCACAGTTCGTGGGTTTGAGCCCCGCGTCGGGCTCTGTGCTGACAGCTCAGAGCCTGGAACCTGCTTCAGATTCTGTGTCTCCCTCTCTCTCTGCCCGTCTCCTGCACACGCTCTGTCTCTCTATCTCACACTTATTTATTTTGAGAGAGGGAGTGGGAGAGAGTGGGGGGGAGCCGAGGGAGAAGAAGAGAGAGAGAATCCGAAGCAGACTACATGCTCAGTGTGGAGTATGATGCTGGGCTCAATCTCATGACTGTGAGATCACTACCTGAGCCACCCAGGTACCCCAAATTGAGCATTTTTCTATTATTCCTGGAAAGACAGATGTTATGTTAAAAGTGAGCTTACTTGATATCATCTTGTTATTCCTTTAATTCTGTCCTGTTATGGAAAAGCACAGGTACAATTTGTAGCCCATTGACTTTTAGTCTATCTACTGTATCTTTTTGGAACTGATAGAAACTTAAAATTAAATTGAACAAAATAAGACTGTTTAAATTAGGGCAGAACTAGTAATAAAAAAAAAAGGTATAAAGATCACATCACATTGATAATGACATTGAATGTCCTTCCCTTCTAGTCTGGATTTCCTGTAAATCTCCTAGTTGTGATTTAGGGATATACTGTAGAAGATTCCTGAAATGGGAGTGACATGACCACCCTCTAATTTGTTTGTTTGTTTGTTTGTTTGCTTTGCTTTGCTTTGGAATCTTACATTCTTTTGCTTAGAGCAGAGAGAAACTTGGAGAAAAGTCTTCTCTGTTTTCCTTTTCTTAGAAAAGGTTTAGGCTTTGTTTTCTGGTGGTAGCATATCTTTACTCTCTGGTTTAGGCTGACACTTCACTCATGTTGAGCGTACTATTCCTTAATTCCTAACTAAGGGCTTTAAACTAATTTCTCCTTTTTTCTGGCACCTCATGATTCTTATTCAGGGCTGTTTTCTGGTACTTTAAGCACTTGTCTTTCCCTGTTTTCTCTTAATTCATAGAAGTCTAGAAAAAGCAGCGAGGTACCTTAGAACTGCCTGTTTTTCATACATATATTGATAGAAAGAACATAAACCTTGAAAGTAATGATTATCTGCCTTTAAGGAGGTGTTAAAAACTATTGAATTTAAAAATTTTGCATATTTTGACAATTTAAACTCCATACACAGTTAGATATGTCTTTGGTGGTCCAAAGAAGTTGTCAAATGTATTTTAAAATGATGTGCTTCTTTCTAAGAACTGTGCAAGTCATCTGTTTAATGAATATTTTCTTTTTGTCCTAGAGCATTTTCATTTGCTTTTTGGACATTGTTTTCAGGAATTTTTAGACTCTGTGGTTTTTTGTTTTTGCTTTTAAGTAGTCTCTACACCCAATGTAGGGCTCAAACTCATGACCCTAAGATGAAGAGTCACATGCTCCACCAACTAAGCCAGCCAGGTGCTCCTAGATTCTGTGTTTCTAATTGTGAGAATATATTAGGCATTACTAGGCTTATTAAGGAAAATAGAATTTTTGACACTATTTTAACTGCAAAAATGAAATGGAAAATATTTTTTCTTTAAGTTTCTTTGATATTATTAGAGAAAATGAAGAATCTTAAAGCTATTTCAAGAATTTTATGTATTTATTTTTGTTGTTATTTTTAATTTTTTGAGAGGGAAAGAGCATGAGCAGGGGAGGTGCAGAGGGAGGGAAAGAGAAGGAGATAGAGAATCCCAAACAGGTTCCACACTGTCAGAGCAGAGCCTGACACGGGTCTCAAACTCAGGAACCGTGAGATCATAACCTGAGCCGAAATCAAGACTTGGATGCTTAACCGACTGAGCCACCCAGGCACCTCTGTTTTTAATTTTTTTAAAGATTTTATTTTTGAGTAATCTCCACATGCAATTTGGGGCTCAAACTCACAATGCTGATACCGAGTCACATGCTCTCCTGACTCAGCCAGTCAGGTGCCCCACAAGAATAATTTTTAAAAATTATGTTCTTCTAAATTATAAATATAATACGATCAAAGGTAGGTAAAGCAATATGAAATGTATTAAGTAGATAATAAAACCTTCCTATTGTTAAGGTTTACATATACTTCCAGGCTTTTTCCTGTGTAGCTTTATAAATGTATGTATATATTTAAACACACATAATTTTTAAAACAATGAAGTAAGTGTCACATTACACAAAATGTAACTCCCTTTTTTCACTTAATTTATTGTGGGCATCCTTGTATAACATGGTATGTCTCTTTCTCCTTGTTTTGTTTTGTTTTGTTTTGTTTTGTTTTGTTTTTAATCATTTTGGGAAAGAGTGGGAGAGAGGGAGAGGGAGAGAGAGAGAGAATCCTAAGTAGGGTGTCAGTGCAGAGCCCATCGCAGGGCTCGATCTCTTGAATTGGGAGATCATGACCTGAGCCCAAATCAAGAGTCAGATGCTTAACCGACGAAGCTACCCAGGTGCCCCACTTTCTCCTTCTTTTAAAGGGTAAGATAATATTCTCTTGCTTAGATGTATCATGATTTATTTTACAGTTCCTTATCGAGGGATATTTAGGTTATTTCCTCTTTTCCCATATTACAAATAATGATGTAGTTGATATTCATTTATAATTTTTCTTATTTGTGCAGGTATCTTTATAGGACAAATTATTAGAAAGTGGTATCACTGTGTCAAAGAATGTATACACTTAAAGTTTTGCATTTAAAAAATTATATGTATATAAAAAGAAAGGGGCACTTTGGTGGCATAGTTAGTTAAACGTCCGACTCTTGACACTTGATATCACAGTTTGTGAATTTGAGCACCACATCAGTCCCCTGCTCTGAAGGTATACAGCCTGCTTAGGATTCTGTCTCTCCTTCTCTGTGCCCCTCCCCTGCTTATGCTTTCTCTTTCTCTCTCTCAAGATGAATAAATAAACATTAAAATTTTTTTTGAATTTTGATAACTTGTCAAATATGCTCCCACCCTGCCAACTTGTACCAGTATACATTCCTATTAAGTTTTAGAGGGCCTTACACTTCAGTCATTTTTATTGTCAATTTCATAGTTTATGTTCATTTAATATCAGTAAGTTGCTTGGTAGCTCTTTATAAATGATGATATAAGTTTACTGATGCTAATTTTTTCAGTTTTTATTTTGCCTTAACTTTATGGTGTGCTTAATTATATAGAAATTTTTACTGAAATTAAAAATGTTTAATATCACATGTATTAATCTTTTATTTCATGGTTTTGGGGATTTGGTCTCATGCATAGAAAAGCCTCCTCTACATCAGCATTAGAAAATACCACATAGTATAATAGTGCCTTTCAGGGGCGCCTGGGTGGCGCAGTCGGTTAAGCCTCCGACTTCAGCCAGGTCATGATCTCGCGGTCCGTGAGTTCGAGCCCCACGTCAGGCTCTGGGCTGATGGCTCGGAGCCTGGAGCCTGTTTCCGATGCTGTGTCTCCCTGTCTCTCTGCCCCTCCCCCGTTCATGCTCTGTTTCTCTCTGTCCCAAAAATAA